ATGGATGGATGGATGGATGGATGGATGGATGGATGGATGGATGGATGGATAGATAGATAGATAGATAGATAGATAGATAGATAGATAGATAGATAGATAGATAGATAGATGGATAGATGGATAGATAGATAGATAGATAGATAGATAGATAGATGTGCATGTAAAAACACAGTCCCTTGTACCTTGTAGTCGACAGGAGTGTTGTGGTTGAACTGGAGCGAGCCGAGACCTCCCGCCTCCCCTGCTCCTCCTCTGGCAGCGTTCATCCAGCCTGTTTCCTCCGCTGTGCTGCACAGCTCTCCCTCCTCCAGCTGCAGACCTGCCAGGTCAAAGGTCAGAGTCCTCTCCACGGAGCGCAGGTAGTTCAGCATCCCGAGAGAGACGCGCTGCGGACAAGAGAAGCTGAAGGTGAACGTGAAGCACTTGTAGGAGTCAGAACATCTAATCATCGCTTATAGCAAACAACATCCATCAAAAGCCCTCAGACTGCGAGTCTCTCACCTGGAGCTCTCTCAGTTTGAGATGACGCAGGTGAATCAGGGACAGGTAAGCACCTCTGGTAACAATGGGGTCTGAGGCTCCTTCCTCCAAACTGTCATCCAGACCCAGCAGCTGCAGACTGTCCTCAGGAGAGAGGCAGAGTTTTATCACAGTTTGACATCATGTGATTTATGTTTCTAAGCTGAGAGGAAAAAAGTGGCAATTGAGAAGTGTTTCATCAGTTATTCTAGAGATCTGGAGCCAATTGATCTTTTCATTTGTGCAAAAATATCACTTGAAAATCACAGCAGACTCATTTTTCAAATATTTTTGGATGAACCACTTTTTTTCTTTTCATCTTAAAAGTGTCAAAAAAAAGGTTGAGACAAGTTGACATCTTCAAATCTTTTTGGAATAAGTCCAAAAAAGAGTTAAAGGTAAATAGGTGAACAAAATATGGTATGACTGGCTGGTGGAATTGCACCATCACATTGTTTCAGTTTTCTGTCCATCAATAAAACACACCTTTCGCTTGTTGACCTTTGACCCTTTAAACTCCTCTCCTCGCTGCCTCCTCTGCGTCTGGATGTGGACGAGTGACTTTGTGTTTCCTGACGAGACAAATGTCATTTTGAATTCAGTCGGCAGCGCTGAGGAAAAAGAAGAGGCCGTTTCTCTGAGCAGAAAAGTGGATGATGCATGCCTGAGTTAAACCTGCAGCTTTGTAAACACTCGTCCACGTCTCTGAGATGCTCTGTCGTGTTGTTTTGCTGCTGTGTGAGACGCACGAGGTGGGGGTGAGTTGTGAGTCACAGACGTGAGCGGCGTGTTCTTTTAGAGCTGAGGACACTTGGAGCAGATCTGGGACCTGACGAGATACAGAAGATGAAATAACTCAACACCAGAAACACAGGTCTGAAGATCGATAATAAAAGGAAGCTTAGAAGATTGTATTTATCCATAAACCATTTCACCTGTAGAAACCTGCAGTGCATCTTCAGCAGCTCGTCCTCACATTTCTCCTCCTGCAGCTTTGTGACGAGTTTCTGCCGCCAGGGATCCCGACGGGGTTTCACCTGAAGAACAAAACCCAATGACTGAGAAATGATTTTGAAGATAGTGTGGATTTAAAAGCTGTTGATAATAATTGTTGTATTTGTTTGTTCGCTGTTTCCCAATCTGGGGTCAGGAAGGATTTGCAAGATAAATCTAAAAGGTCATAAGATCAGAAACACATCAGGAATGTTTTACACACTTTTATTAATTCAAACCTGTGACGAAGGTTCGAGAGTTCATCCTTTGAGGGAAACAAACTAAAATGTTTGGGATTAACCAACACGTTTATAGGATTACAGAAATACGTTTGTGGTGTGACTAATTGACCTGGAAGTATAAATAATCTCAGACCTGAATGAAAGGGATCCAGTTGGCCTCCTTCCTCAGAGCCGCACTCGCACTCTTCCTCCCCCACTGACTCCCTTTGACCTCTGTGCCGTCGTACTGAGGAAACGTTTTCATCTGCTCCTGACGACTGAAGATCGTCCTGAACTCTCTCCACACCTTAAGAGACAGCGGCCGGGATTCAAACTCAAATACAATGGTGTCATTTAAACACCAGCTGGTGACGCAGGGGACAAAAACCTGGTTTGTGTTATTTATGCATATGATGCAGTGTTGTCCATTAAGCATCGTTACCGTGCTGAACAACTCCATCTCATCTGCAGCCGTCCTGAGTTGTCTTGTGTCACACGACAGGTGGAAGAAGACGATCAAAGACTGAAGCTCAGGTAGAAAGTCGTCCAGGTGAACAGAGAGCGGGAGGAAGTTTCCTGTTTCTGAAACACCTGTGGTTGAACCAAACAGTAGAATGAGCATCTCCGCTCAAACCCTTATGTTCACCTATAACTTCTGTCTTTATATGTTTGTTCTTTTTCAGGTTTAATGAAATATATCTGTGCAGATGCATTTTGCCTGTTTTACCTTTATTTCAAATGGAAGACTTTTAGAAAAGCAGCTGATCAAATGATCTCACAATTATTGCAGATGTTAAGATTTTTATCTAATCATCTGTTTTTCAGACGCTCATGACACTGGCAGATCTCCTCCTTCCCTCTCTGGGGATTTATTCTTTTCATTAAACTGACAAGTAGATTTCCAGGCGACTGCTTGTTTGACTCTCACCATCAGCATCTTGAGTCTGATGTAAAGTTTCCTCCTCCTTCGTGAGGCTTGTCTGAAATTCGTCTTCTTTCCTTTCACAGGCTGGTACATAGTGCAGCACCTGCAAAAACAAAACAAAACCTGCAGCAGTTATAATAAAAAGACAAACACAGTGGATGGCTGTAAAGCAGCCTGTGTGTTTTCACCCTGAGGAAGTTGTGGATGGTGTGAACAGAGTGCAGGTGGCAGACGAGCCAGCGGAGGTGAATGAGCAGGTCGTCCTGAGTGAGCAGGTGAGCAGGGTTTCCTCGTCCCGTCAGGATCGTCTCTCTGCTCGCTGACAGTCGACGAGCTCTCTGAACAGCATCCTCGTACTCGCTGGTTAAAAATCTCACCTGATCCTGAGAGAAAACAAATCTGATGTGACATAACATAATTTTAAAGTTGTTTATTGTCAATAAAGGTTTTTATTATTATCCTACATTCCATTAGTATACATTTGATTTACTCTGATTGAGTATTTTTCCTTTTTTCTGTAATGATATATTTAAAAAATGTTTTCGTGTATTTTTTGTAAATTCACACATTTGAGGAAGTTACTTATATCTATGGATATATCCAGTGATTTCTCTTCCTAACATTCACTTCCAGATATTTTGCTCTCCATCCCCCCAAAAAAGAAAAATGTGAATGCAGCAAATAAGCTGTGACACTAACAGGTTCACATTAATGAGGAAGAAAACCTCCTGTCATAATGAGTGTTGACGTGTCATTTGTGTAAAATGTGTTTTTTCACCTTGTAATGAGGATAAAGCTTCTCAATGACGCTGGTGTGGCGGCAAAATCTCCTCCACCTCAGCATGAGCAGATATTTGATCTGAGCCAAGTGATATGATCTGTCAGCGTAAAACTGTGGGAGGAAATACAGGAAAGGAAATCTGTTTCAATTACAGTTCTCTTTTTATCTTTGGCTGCCATTGTGTGCCAAAAGTTTTTTTTCTAAATGTAGTGTTGAGGAGTGTTCAGGCCTCATGCATGCTCATGCCTGGTGCAGCAGAGCAGGCAGACTGTCAGCTGTGTTCTCCAGACTGAAACAAGTCTCCAGCTCCCTCTGCATCACATCAGCCTGGGAGTGGACAGGAGAAGCTTCAGCCACCTGCAGCCAAGAGGAGTCACATTCACTTTGCTTCAAGAAAAAACAAACAAGTCTCGATTGATTGTAAATTAGTAGGAAATCAATAAATGAATTTTCTTTGGACTTGGTAGAAATGAAGACTGACCTGAAGCCCTCTCCTCAGAGCATGTTCCCTCTCCGCACGGAAGAAGGACACATCTCTCGGCGGCAGAACAGAACTGAAAGAGAAATGTATTGAAACGACTTAAAAGCCTCTATTCCATTGCAAAAGATTCCATTCATGGATGCAAGTTTTTATTGATTAACTGTCGGACGAGGTGTCTCTATATTTATATTCTATTCTAAGTGTGGATGCACTGGACATTTTGAATCTGGATTGTCTTCCAACTTCCACCTAGTTGTGATGTAACGTCTTAAACTCAAATTTAAGGTAAAGACATCAGCATCAGCAGGATTAACTATTTCTTGGAATTTTCTGTGGTGTATCTGTGCAATATGAAAAAGTGCATAAAATATAAAAATAGGAAACAAAATTAAATATAAAAACTACTAAAAGCACCAGGGGAGAGATTTCACACAAACATCCCTCAAACTCTGCACATTCATCTGCACAGTGAAGCTCCAACATCCACCAGAAGCAGCAACAACAAACAAAAGAGCAAGACACATTTTCAAGTGGAGGCAGAGTTGAGTTCCAAGTTCCTTCCAATCTAAGAATAGTTTGCAGCTGAAATAAAGTGAGCGCATAAAACAATCACAACCATCACCAAGCTTCCTCACCTGCATGAGATAAATCCACTCTCCTCAACGTGTGCCCGCAGTGCTGAGAGCTGATGTGACAGCTCGGCCTCCATCTGCTCCACTCTGACAGAGGAGGAAACTCTGTACACGTCACACATGGTGCAACTTCTCCTTCAGGGTCAACACGTGTAGAAACTGAGGTACAAATATTTACTGATTTCACTGATATGTTAAAATAATACACGCCCTGAGAAAATCTGTGCGTCCATGCTGACTTGTTGTGTCGTATCCATGGAGACAGGAGCTGTTTCCTCTCTTTGGCCTGGACTCACACAGTAGCTGCTTGTGATCAGCAGAGGGCTCTAACGTCACATTAGTCAGAACAGCATTACGTCACGCTGCTGTGCTTTTCAGATACTAGCCACATTACAATAATGTGTAATAAAAAGTCAATGGATGATAAATGATGCACAGTGCAGCAGTTGTTGGGCAGCTCCCTCCTCAGCAGTCAGAGCTCCTGCTTTCAAAAAACCTTGACTTAATTGAGCGGGGTCCACTCTTCTTGGATACAGTGTGTGATTGGTTCTCAGCCTGTGATGAGATTGTCCAATAGCAGATCTCCTCCTCGCCGCCTGCAGAGTCAAGTCTGCAGCTCTGCAGTTCCTCCAGAGACAGGAATTAAAAAAGGTACATGATAAAAAAAAAAACCTCAGACAGACATTCAGTGGTTCTTTAAGCTTTATTTACATGCACCATCTCTGTTACAGCCAAGATAAGAATTGGGATTACAGCCGACAATCTCAACTTGATGTCTTGTTTTGTAGGAGCAAGAGGAAGAAATAGAGAATGGATATTGGCAGTGAGTGTTACTCAGAATTCATGTAGAATAAAAACAAAGTTTTATGTCATTTGTATTTTGAAGATTAAATCATCCACGTGAAGATGGAAAAATGATTTGGGAACATAAATGTGCAGAATGTGTTTCTCTCACATCAATGTCAGTTAATTGCAACATTTCGAATTTTCTATAACTAATCAATTAAATTGATTCATTGGTCGTCTGTCCTGATGATCGCCCGACCGGGGGGGTCAAAACGTGGGTAGATCGAACAGACTGTCAAAACAAAAGTGCTTTCCTGCAGCTCTAACCCACTTTACGTGGGGTAAAACATGCAGAACCACATTAAGAGAGAATTTAATAAATAAAGCAAATGTGCATCTCTTAAAATGATTGAGGTAAATTTAGCAAGGAGACAAAATTACACAAAAAGTCTAGTTTTTTTTCCAATTCATCCTGCTGTCCCGACAAAAACTGTGCTGATGTAATTCTTTTTTTTTTTTTTTTGCACCTGCAGCACTGGTTCCTAACATGTATACACTGTATATCCTCTTATTTCTGCTTATTCAAATGCAGAAATGTTTTGGCAATATTTCAAATACTGTGGTTCTTTCGTTCTAAAATGGCAAAAATGGCTCTAAGATACAACACAACGTCCTCTCGCAGGGTTTGAAACACTTACGGCTGTGGTCCAATCGTCAAAAAAAACGAATTACGTCCCGCGTCCTTGCCCGACCACTTTTCCTTGACCCACATAAAAAAACCGTCACGCGGTCAAGGAAAGACGTGAAGGAGGATTCCCGAAGAGGACTGGGGCTCTAAGACAATCTGGCCACACTCACACTGGGCTGTGTAATAATGTGACAGCGGATGTTATTGACGTGCATCAATAAATGTTGCTGCTGCAAGGAATTGAATTATCTCCTTTCCTGTTGTAAAGGATGGTCCAGTGTGTCCTATGCTGAAGGAGATAAGAAAAGAAGCACCGGAGCACCTTTCGTAAGCATTTAGAGAATTCGACCTCATAACGGCTGCAACTTAAGATACTTCTGAGTCATTTCTCCAGGAACCTAATGAAGCCAAAAACAAGACGATTCGATCACAGCCTTTTTTCCCCAGCACCTGCTGTAGTGCTGATAACAAAGGAGAGGCTACTATTGACACTCCATCTGCAGCCACTCCCTGCCATCTCTTTATTTATAGCACCAAGAACTTCAAATTCAAACACCAAGATATTGTAGTCGAGTGCTGTGGAGTGCAGTTATTTGAATCCAGATATTCCTAAATGCTAATGTAAATGGTGTCAACTAGAGCTAAATCATGTCCTTATCTCCGTCCTAAACTCTACACGGACGGGACCTCCGATATTGCAGTACGAGGAAGAGGAGGAAGAGGAGGACGAGCGGGGAAGATGGTGAAAGGGATCTGCAGCAGAAAACACCATATCATCAAGACGTCAGTAATGAACCTCTTCTGAAGGAACAGAATTCACAGTAATGTCACTAAACTCACAGGGTCAAATTCGCTAAATGAAAGGAAAACATTACATACAATAACCACACAATGTAGATCAGTTCACATCTTGATAACATATTAACCTCTACAGACTGATATTTGGTGCATGACTCGGTGCATCAATGGGGGGAAAAAAAAGCATTTGTTTTAAATCTTTTAGTCCATTTAGGCTACGTCTCTCAAAGAAACATTAAAATAAAAACAAAAGCTTGTCAAGTATCCTCCACTGGAACGTAATGATGCAACATTCTCATTCTGTAAACAGGCCGTCAGCCAACAACAGGCTGACAGCTGGTTTGGCAAAAATGTTGGTTTAGGTACGAAAGGGTGTGAAAAGGGAGAAAAGCAGGGTGGAAACAGAATTCATCTTCATCATGTATCACTTTGTGATATGCGTGATTCCCTGAGACTAACATGAGTTGATGCTTTTCATATAGTTTTAACAAAATGTCCTGTACTAGAAGTCAGTGCTGTTGTTCACACCGCCCAGGTTTTGATCTTTTTAAAGAATTTTTTTTCTCCGCTGTGTAGACACCATTATGTGTCTCAGACACTTAAAATACAGTATCGAACTTAATGCCTCACATTAAAAACAATGGAAAAAAATACTACATGAATACACTTTTACACACTTCATTCCCTCTAGTTCCACAATTCAGGACAATGAAACCCAATTTACATTTCCGCCACTTTTTTTCTTTTCTTTTTTAAATCATGCTCCGACAGAGCCTCTCAGCTTGGGACCCAGCTTTGAGGGGAGGTCTGTTTTGAGCTTGAAAAGCTTCCTGAATTCCTATTGGCATTCTGGGCGGAAGTGAGGCAAGAGTCGAAGCTGAGGTCCAGGCAATCTGCATCCATCAACTCATTGCGGATGATGGAGTCCATGTCACACTCCAGGCTGCCATTGAACACGTCCAGGTCCAGATCGGCAGGAAAACGGTCCTGGCCGGACAAACCAGAGCCGAGCTGCATAGAGGCGTTCTTGCTGGGTGACCTCAGGTGTGGCTGCTTGGCAATAGGGTGACTGGCATCGCTGTCAGAGGTTGACAAGCCAGCTTGCCAACCAGGCACTGATGAGCTTTGACCCTGACCTGCGCTGGCGGGGTTCACCAACACGTGGTCTTTGCGCAGCAGCATGGCATTTCGACGAGAGTTTTGCAGAGCGATGGCGGTGCTGGCCTGCGACATCAGCGGGTCGGACTGGGTGAGCATGACATTGCTGTGGCTGTGGGAGTCCAGACTGAGCAGATCCTGCAGGGTCTGATGGTCGCTAAAGTGCGAGATGCAGGAGAAGTTGGTCTGCTTGTTCTCCTGAATGGTCTGCATGGGTGACTGGCGCAGGCTTGTGATGGACGGAGGACTGAAAAGAGGGTTCGAACCGAAGCTGCCAGAGGGGCTCCCCAGACTGCTTCCTGAGCAGCTGAAGGTAAACAGTGAGCTCCCCTGACCGTTTGCTCCGTTGTCCTCCTCTCCAGGAGGAGGCTGCTGGGATGCTGTCAAGCTAATATTGTCTAAAAGGTCGTCCATCAGGTTGTCAGAGAGTCCATCATTGAGGTTCATGGTACCTGCCAGGTCAGAGAGCCCTGTGGGCCCTGTTGACGGAGACATGCTGCTGGGACTAGAGTACAGCATTGGGGAGAGGGGGGAGTCATCATCAGGCACCTCGTCCAGCTCCAGGTTGGCCAGGATCGGGGACAGACGACCGCTGAGTGTGCTGGCGTTAGAATTTGTCCGGGAACGGAAGTCTGTCCAGGCGTCTAGCTCATCACTGCTGCGGGAAGTTGGACTTCCTGTCCATTTGGAGAGGCTTGAGGAGCTCTCAGAGCTGCCATCTTGAGCGGCTTGAAGTGAGGCCTTCTTCTTGGTGGCACGTCCTCGAGCTCCTTTGATGTACTTGCTGTTGTCCATCGATACAGCCCGTCGACGAGGAGCTTTGCCTCCTTTCCCACCCTCTGGGTTGACCATCCACCAGGAACTTTTCCCTGTTCCTTCATTCTGGACTTTGACAAAACGGCTGTGGAGGGACAGATTGTGTCGGATGGAATTCTGAAATAAAACGGATAAACACAATTAGGTGAATGATTAAAATACATGTAAAAGCATGTGAACTACCTTAGACAACATGGTACAGAGAACCAATGGTTTCAAAGAGAAACTGCACAGATTTTACAGACAAGTTTATTAGTAATGAGGAAAAACACTCTGCTCGCTCATTCACTCTGCTTATCCTGTAAAACAGTTCAATAAATGTGTCTGTGGTTTTGGAGCCACACCTTGATGACATCATCCAGGCGGCAGCTTGTAGGCAACACATTTTTTATTCCAATGAAAGATGTGGCAGTTTGCAAAGGAGGAATCCGAAGATCTAGTACCTTTGGAACCCAAACTACAAGCCCCCAACTTTATTTAAGTGGATATTTAAACTTTTACTACCTAATTTTGTGTGTATATTATTCCTTTGAGAAATACTGTGTGTAAGCAGATTTGCATCACACAAATAATAAGCTGTTTTTTTGGTTCCACTGAAGGTAGAAAATAAAGACTATTGACAAGCAGTGCTGAACATTCAGTGATTCAAGCGTCCTTACCTCCTCTCACCATAGAAAATTGTAGTTTTTTTTTTTTTTTTTTAAACTAACCAACAATGGGAACCCAGGTAGTGTGAACAATTCTAATATTGCATCCTTGTCCAAGATACCGCTTTTTTAAATTATTTCTTTCTGTGACCCATTTTGGCTGCTCAAGAAGGTCTGCAGGATTTCCTCGGAGATGTTTCCCCCACCATGTACAAAATTAAACAGCTGGAGTCTGCACGGCTGACCCGCACTAAGACCCACAGCAGTAAGTAAGGAGAAACTCTGCAGTGATTTTCTGCAGCCCAGAGGCCAAGTTCATTGGGAGAGGATCCAGCATAATTCTCTTAAACTTGAATTAACTTGAGTAAACTGAGGTCCTATTTAAATCCATCTCTCAGAGGATTAAACTAATCAATTTCAAACCAGGCTCAGCACATACAAACTACAGTGACACAAGTCTGCACTAACAATATGGACCTGCAGCGGTGGAGGCAGCTGCTCTCCAGCTTTGTGATGATCGAATGATCACAAATGAGCATTGGCCACAGTTTTCCTCTGAATATAATGAGTCAGTGGAATGATCCACTGACATTTAACTTACAGTAAAGCCCTCGCTTAAAGCCAATTAAAGGATTAAGTCACTTACAACAAAACACATGTGACTCAAAAATAAATCGCAGGTGCCTCGTTGCTCTTTTCTTTCTGTGTTTCAATTATTAAGCTGAAAAGGCTGCTGGCTTGTATCAGTCTTTCAGAATTAACTGCTGTGATATATCATGAAGGCTAGATTACACACTTTTAAGGATATACTTTAATATTGTTTGTTTTTATAAATGTCAGTATTTATACTTCCAGACTCACACAGCACCGTCCAACCCGAATCCATTAGTTCCTGCTGAAGAGGTAAATCTGTTTGATCCAGAGAATGTCCCAGCAGTGCAGTGGTTAATAAAACACAGAGAGAAGCAACTCTTTGCTTGTTTGGTTTTAATTTCCTTCATTTTCCTTTTGCCATTACCTGACGACAAGACGTGAATTTTTTTAGTATTTTCACTTCTTCCAAAGGTTGATAAAGAGTCTTGGGGAATAATAGAACTTTTTATTTTTTTCTCACTTTCTGAATTTGGCTGAAAATCTGCTCTAATTCCTTCCATCTGAAAAGGAACACCCAAGCTGCTGCTGCAGTTAGGCCACGTTCAACACTTGCTGAGGAAACATCCAGGCCACCTGGACTTGTTTCTGTTATGTTGGACAATTTCACTACAATGAATATATTTGAGAATAGTCAGAACATGCAGCCTGTATGCTTTTAACACCATTACTTTTGACTCTGGGAAACTGGGACGAACATCGCTTCACTATTTTCTTACATTTTATAGATTAAACAATTAATCGGTCAATATTAATTATATATTTGGTAGTCTTATTATTAACACTGATACAATACCAGTGCTGTTTTCCAATTTTACAACATCTTAATCTGAAATCTCATTAGATGGAACCAGAGAAAGACATAATTTATACCATATGATGACAAGTGATTGTTTAATCTAAATAACCTGTAGCTTGTATTACAATTATTACTGGTTGCAAAAATCAATTCAACTATTGTCATTGTGGAACTTCTTTATGATAGTCCCTTATCATATGACATTAAATGATGGGAAAAAGGTTTTCTGACCAATACAAACTTTAGATTGTTCCTCTGGCTCTATTTTCTGCAGAGATATCTATAAAAATATGTTTTTCTGACCATATTTCCGTTGACCTTGAGTTTGACCTTTGACTGATCAGCTACAAAACTTAAACATCGGGAGATACACTCCCAAGTTATAAGCCCACCAAGTTTGGTGAAAACCCACCAATGAATTTTTGACCTATTCTGTACACACTCGCAGTATAAAAATCCCATTTACATATGTATTTCTTAAAAAACATCTTAAACCGTAAACAAGCAAGACATTCGATATCACCTCCGTCAACTGGCCTGAACAGCTGTAGCGTATAAAGGCTAAAAGACACAAGTCAAACAGTGCAACATGATAATGATCGTGTACAGAGAGTGAACACAATAAGAGCAACACCTGTCCTGCTCAGTCTCATGCAATCCAACACAACTGCCCTGCAATAAATAAATAAACCCGTGTTGACACTTCAGTTTTGGCCGAGGCTGCCAGAGAGGCTTTGATTGAACTCTGACGTTATTTATGGGGCCATGAATTGTGGTGTAGCTGTATTGGATTGTACTGCATTCCAACAGATGGATGAAATAGTCGTTACACCTTTAACAATATAACACGGTTCAGTGCAACATCCCAATATATAACTTCAGAAACGACAGAGGAATTTTATGCGGTTCTCATTTATGCAACAAAAACTTGCTCACAATGATGATTTTTATCACAATGCTGCTGAATTTGAATTAATAACAATAAACTGCAAAATTGGTGCTTTAATTGCAAAATATTATAAATACAGTGTTGTGGAATTTGTGTGTAACCCACAACGTTCCTAATCATTTCTGTTTTTTAGAACGACTGTGTAGAAGGTCCTCCTTAAAAGAAATAGCCAGTGGACATAATTGCATCTACTGAGCTGAAGAAAATTTCCCAGAATGCTTCTCAGGTACGTACAGTATGAGCCAAATGACATTTAAAAAAAAACAAAAAAAAAAGATAAATCACAAAGAGCAGAACTCCTGCCGTCCCCTCCCCCACGCAGTCACAGCAGTGCTGCAGCACCCTTTGAGCAATGCCTCATTCTGAGCGGGGACTGGAGCAATGCCAGTTTAGCCAGAGCCCGATCCAAAGAGAAACACTGAGCTTCTCTCACACTGCTACACATTGACCTACATAATTTATAGTCAGCTGATTGATCCTCGTGCCCGGGCCACATGAAAAAGACAGTGTGGCACTTGCACAGCAGGCCTGAGCTGCTGGCTGCCCGTCCATATAGGAAGCTGCAGATTGAGTTTGGATTCACAACACTGGGGGGGGGGGGCATAACCTCCTGAGCTGCAGATGAAGCTGGTCACTGAACGTTGTTGTCCTGTAATGGAATGAGACGTGTGACAGCTCTGGATTCACTGTCTGAGGACATTCTTTCCCCTGGTGCAGATGACCAACCTTTAACCGATGCCTGGATCTCAAACTGCTTCAGAGCTTCTCCCAGGAAATGCTGATGTCAGCTCTTCAGGAACCCTCAACATTTAACCCTCTCCTCTGCAAACCACCGTCAGTCTGCAGCCTCATGGATGCATGTGGTGGAGCAGCCACTAATCTAGAGTAACAACAATCCAGCTGATTCTGTGCAGATTATTCGGTTATTAGCATCAATTTGTCTCTCACACGGATTACTTTGTTTTTTAAAATTCCAATTCCCATCACGTCACAGCAATTTGATGAGGTTTCCAAAAAAACTAATCTTGACCGTTATTGTAATTCCTTCCTCAAGAAACTCCCTGGAATTGGCCTGCATCCCACATGCACAGTTATGCAGTTGTGCGGGATTACAAACCTATTTCCAGAGTTTTTCTAACCCCCCTCCCCTCCAATCTAAATCCTGCAAAGCTCAAAGCTTTCATCAGACTTGATTCCATGACAGATGAATTGGTTTTCCAGGCCTGTACTAATCCTTAAAATCAAACAGAAGCAGGCAGGGCCCAGTGGAAGCTTGTAAGAAGTGCCCCGTGCTGCAGTGTGACCAGTTTGAAAGTGAAATCAACTTTGCATGGCCTGTGTTTGGAGTCCGGAGTTTCAGACCCACCACCTTGTTTGTAAGGGATCGGTGTGCAGCTCTGATTCTTTTGTGTGTAATTGGATGCACATCCCATTACAACCATATATTGTGACAGCAGCTTGGATCACAAGTCATTTAACCCTGTGAGCATGTTGCAGACACACTCCTGAACACCCCCCCCCCCCCC